TTGATCAATTTGTGTTATATAGGTGGTGTCATGATATTGGGCGTGAGCAGGCTGCAAATAAACCTCTTCTGAAAACTGTTTTCCAGGTATGTTTTTTGCACCTATATATTTATAGTTATACTATTACTTATATACATATTTTATGAACTGTTTATTGATCAGGTTATGTTGAGGTTGTTTAGTCCACGTAAAACAACTTTAATGTTTGTTATTCGCGATAAAACAAGGGTAAGTTTTTTTTTTTTTTTGTCTCTTTTATCTTACTGCTGTATACATATATTTTATATAATCTGATGCAAGTATTCTTTTTTATTTCTCTACAGACACCTCTTGAAAACCTAGAGCCTGTCTTGAGGGAAGATATCCAGAAGGTATCTTTTTTTGTCTTTTTCGTATATATTTTATTATTTCATAAACGTATAACTTTTAATGATATGTTATTTTTCTGTAGATATGGGATTCTGTTCCTAAGCCAGAAGCCCACAAACACACCCCACTGAGTGAATTTTTCAATGTAAGATGCCAAAATATAACATTTCAAATTTTCGATCTTTTTTTTTTTTTTTTTTTGTATATTTACTCTTTCCTTATATAAATAATTTCATATCTACCAGGTTCAAGTTGTTGCACTGTCTAGTTATGAAGAGAAGGAAGAACAATTTAAAGAGCAGGTATGTCCCTTTTCAAATATTTACAATCATACCCTTTTGAGATATTTATATTTATATTACTTATTTACTTTCCTGTCTTTGAAGGTGGCTGATTTGAGGCAAAAGTTTTTCCATTCCATTGCCCCTGGTGGTTTAGCAGGTGATAGGCGAGGGGTAGTTCCTGCTTCAGGTTTTTCCTTCAGTGCACAACAAATTTGGAAAGTCATCAAGGAGAACAAAGACCTTGATCTTCCAGCTCACAAGGTAATAATAATTTTACACTTTTTTTTTAATAAAATTTGACATATTGTAAAAAGATATTAAATTTTTTTGTCAAATTTTCAGGTGATGGTGGCAACTGTACGATGTGAAGAAATTGCTAATGAGAAATATGCTTCGTTTGTTACAAACGAGGTACATATTTAATATTTTGGTAACAAATTATTTTAAAATGTTAATTTTTTTAAAATACTTGAATTAAATAAATTTTGCAGAATTGGCTTGAATTAGAAGAGGCTGTACAATCTAGTTATGTGTCAGGCTTCGGAAAGAAGCTTAGTTCATTACTTAACAAATCTTTATCCAGGTAATAATAATAAAAAATTCCCTTTTTAACCTCGTTTGAAAGCATTAATATGGAAGTTTTATTTATTTATTTATAAATATTTCGTTTCAGTTATGATGAAGAGGCAACTTACTTTGAAGATAGTGTTAGATCTGCAAAGAGAAAGCAATTGGAAGAGAAATTGTTGCAAGTAATGTTTTTTCTTATTGGTTGTTGATATGATTCTTGTTCATTTTTATTTATTTATATTATTATTTTTTTAAAATTATATTCAGCTTGTTCAACCAGCCTACCAATTAATGTTGGAACATATAAGATCCGGGACATTGGAAAACTTCAAAAAAGCTCTTATTGATGCATTGAATGGTGGACAAGGGTTTGCAGTTGCTGTACGTGACAACACTGCAAAATTCTCAAGACTATTTGAAGAACAATGTGAAGGTATATTTCCAAATTTACCCTTTTATGTATATTAGATATTTGACTAATGTTCATTCAAACGCAGATGCAATTATCAAACAAGCGAAGTGGGATTCGTCTAAAATAAGAGATAAATTTTCACGTGATTTAGATTCACATATTCTTGAAGTTAGAACAGCTAAACTATCTGAACTTAATGCACTATATGAGGTAAATAATATTAATTTGTAAATTATACAAGTGTTATAAAATCTTGTTGGTGAATTTATGCATTTTTTTTTGTAGACGAAATTGAAAGAGGGATTATATGGTCCAGTTGAAGCTCTTCTAGAAGGTGGTAGTGATGATACATGGGCTGCAATAAGGAAACTTCTTCATCAAGTAACTGAAAAAGCTGTTTCCGAATTCTCTTTTGCACTTTCTGGTTTTGAAATGGATGAAGAAGAAAAAGAGGATATGATTTTGAAATTGAAAAATTACGCAAGAGGGGTAGTTGAAGGGAAGACAAAAGAAGAATCTGCTAAAGTTTTGTATCGTATGAAAGAAAGGTACTGTATGCATGTTTTATTCAGCGGAATTGGAATTCGGGATTCCATTCCATTCTGTTGGAATCCTTCAAATTCCATGTTTGATGGATTTCACCATACCTTTGTGATTCCTTTATATTCCAATTCCTTTAACAAATTCCTTTCCTTCCAAAAACATTCTACAGATTTACATCGATTTTCAACCATGATAATGATTCAATGCCACGAGTCTGGACTGGAAAGGAAGATATTCGAGCAATAACTAAAATGGCTCGCTCTTCTGTAAGAATCATTTCATTAAACTAAATTTCATGTTAAATCTATTATTATTTTTTTGTTAATTTATTTATATTTATGTTTCATTCAGTCTTTAAAGTTGCTCTCTGTGTTGGCTGCAATTCGTTTGGATGAAGAAAATGATACAATTGGGGACACTTTAGTCCTTGCATTAGTGGATCCTAAAAAAGCCACTAATAATAAGACTACCCTTTCAGACCCATTGGCCTCAAGCACATGGGAAGAGGTACAATTTCATTAGTTTCTTTATTATATATTCTTTCATTTTTAATTTTCCTATTATAATAATAATATTCTACTTATATAAATCTACCCATAAGAAAAAAATTTTGCTTACTATTTTCTTTTGCGCATTTTATTTATATTCGCTTGCTTGTGTCCAGGTTCCAGCTACAAAAACACTCATAACTCCTGTTCAATGCAAATCCTTGTGGAGCCAATTTCAAAAAGAAACCGAATATACAATCACTCAAGCTATAGCTTCCCAGGTAATTTTTTTTTTTTTTTAAAAATCTTTGATATTTATTTAGATTGAATTGTGAGGGTAGATTCGTAATTTTATCTGCAATTGTTTCTTCAGGAAGCTAATAAACGCAATAACAACTGGTTACCACCTCCATGGGCTATCGCTGCCATGGTGGTGCTTGGATTCAACGAGTTCATGACTCTTTTGAGGTTATTTTCGTCTTTTTACATTAAATAAAACCAGTCTTCTATTCTCACTTCCACTGATATTAAATTCCTTTTTTTTTTTTTTTTTGGGTTAGGAATCCTTTATGGCTGCTTGTTATATTCGTAAGCTACCTTCTTGCAAAAGCTTTATGGGTCCAACTAGACATATCTGGTGAATTCCGAAACGGCGCTGTGAGTTTTCATTTCAACTTTCAAAAAACAAAAACTCACACCATTTAAATTATATAAAAATCGTATTTCCTAAAATACCCTTTTGGTTTGGTTACAGCTTCCAGGGATTTTGTCACTATCAACAAAATTCATTCCAACAGTGACGAATCTTCTTAGAAAATTAGCAGAACAAGGGGAAAGGCCTGTGAACCCAACACCACAAAGTATTCAAGGGAGTACAAGTGGTTTTTCATCAACTGCTTCATCTGAGGTGACTAATGAAATTGAAATGGAGTACAGTAGCCCTACATCAAGATCACACAACAAAGATTTATGAATAACATCGTTTTCTCACCCAAACCCAATAACCCGCTCTCTGTATCTATGAAAAACTTGTTTATTTTGGCGGATAAAAAAACGTGTCATGGGCTTTTTTTTCAAAAGATACGACATGTGAGAAGGTAATAGAGTTTTAATAGGATATGCGTATATTTTTGTATTTGCGTGTTCTTTTTGTCATCATAGATTTGGCCGATTTTGGTTGTATCAAGGGGGGGAAAAACTTGTGATTTTGGATTTGTAAGTGACTTGTATACGTTGGGTATAATGTGGCTGTGTTCTTCTAGTTTGTGTTGGATTTGGTCGTTTAATATATGGTTTGGAATCGTTTATTTTTATTTATTTATTTATTTTTTAAATTGCTTTGTTAGTTTTTTCAAACTTGAACAACTTGGTGTTTTTTGTTGGTATTATTCTAATAAAAATTTGAAGTTAATGATTTAGGATGGCTTGTGTTTTGATTTTGCTAATGATTTTTTATTGTTCTGGTTTTGATTCGGACATAACATTAGGGGATGTTTTACAAAACTAGCTTTAAGCTTAAAGCTGTAAGCTGTTTAATTTTTATTTATGTAGTGTTCGGTGAAAGTATTTGTAAATTTTTACGGATGTAAAATGATGTGCAATATAAAGTAAAAAGACTAAACTGCAAAATTGGTCCCTGTGGTTAGCGAAAAAGTGTGGATGGAGTTCAAAAAGTTTTCAACTTGCACCATTAGTCCAAAATAAAATAATTCTTGTGGTTTTGGTCTCTGAAAAAGTTGAAAAGATTATTTTACTCTTTTAATTCTTTTTCGTATTTTTGATATTTATTTTAATATCTTTTTAATATAAAAAAAGTAAAAAGAAAATAACTCATATCTTATCCCATCCCCTACCAACCGTTACCTCTCTCTCTCTCTCTCTCTCTCTCTCTCTCTCTCTCTCTCTCTCTCTAATCCCCCACCATGTTTTTCCTTCGATCTCAAACCACTATTGCAGTAGTACAGATCCTCCACCACCAACACCGACCCACACCTTCCATCATCGATAAACAAAAAAAAAAAATCAAGAACCTACAACATCTATTTGATCTATTCTTTTCTTCATGTAAACACTCACCCACACACAAACTCTCACATACGCTCTCCCTCTAATAACCTCTTTTTGTCTTCTCACCTTGAGCTACCCATAAATACTTTTAACTAGATGAAATTGCCACGTTGTAGTAGCAGTTCCGGATCAATAATAAATGAAGATGGAGGGTTATACATATGCATACACCAGATAATGGAGGAGGGGGGTTCCAGATCTGCATCATTTGCTACCACTCTTGCTTTTATTCTTAAAAACATTCTCAATGGCAGTGAGAATAATTTCTCAGCTCTTCTAGAAATCTCACCATTTTCACATAAAACATATCAAAATAATAAATAAATATACAATTAGGTTTGATTTTCTTACTTCTTTCTTGGTTTTAATATCGATTTCACAACTATGTCTTGTTTGAAAGCTTAGGTTCTTGAGCATCAGAAAAAATCGAGAGGTACAATGACCCTCTAAGAGATAGATATGGATTGAAATTAAGAGGAATGATAATTGGACGCAGGCTAGTAGATTAGACACCTCATTCTTTCTCTTTGACTTTCTTTCTATCTCCCTTCTTCTCCTGTTGAGCAACACCAAATCATTATCTCACTATCCAGTCCCATCCACTAAATAATCCATGCAATTGGGGAATTTTAGGCAAACGAGTCTAACTCGTTTGATTTGGGAGAAATATTTGGATATGGGTCTTCTTCGAAATCATCGCCATCATCTTTAAAATTTGGAGATGACAGGTAATAGCAAGAGTTTTGAGCAGACTAGAAAGAATTTGGTGGGTGGGTTTGATTATGAAAGAAGATGAAGGATTTAGTTATTGGTGTGTGAGTGTAAGTGTGTGTGAGAAAGAGCTAGTAGAGAGGGGGGATACCGGTGGAATGATTGGGTGAGTGGAGTAGAATTTTATTTTATTTTATTTCTAAATATTTAAATTAATAAAGAAAATTGAAAATACAAATGGAAAAGGTAAAAGAGTCATTTCAAGTTGTTCAAGGATCAAATCCATAAAAAGTTTATGATTTTGGATCAGTGGTGCAAGTTGGAAAATTTTTGGACTCCATCCATACTCTTTTGCTAACCACAGGGACCAAAATTGCAGTTTAGTTAAGTAAAAACGTCAATTTTTTTTTTACTGATGTAAAATGATGTGAAATAAAATTAAAATGCTTGAAGTAGTTTTTGAATTACTTTTTTTTTGTTTAAAATAATAGCTTTAAGTTTATATTTTGTAATTTTTTTTTAAAAATTTGATTTAAAAGAAAAAAAAAAGTACATGTTGAAGCAATATGTCGGTGGCATTAATGTCAACTGTAGTAGTTAGATCATTGAAAGCAACAAACGTGATCTTTGACCCGACAAAAAGAGATCGGAAAGAGTACTAAATTACTTTACCAGAAAGGTTGCATCTATTTTCGGATCGACTACCCAAAAAAGTTTTACATTTGTATTCACATATAAGTGATAAATTTTACTCTTTTTGAATAAATAAATCAAAAAAATGTCTAAAAAAGAATGTGATGGTATGATTGTTTGGGGTTTGACATTTGAAAACCTGGTTTGATTTTAGGGTTATTGATGAGAAAGATGAAGACATAAGAGCAAATGTATAATAGTCATTTTTATAAATTTAACAGTTTGATCCAAAAACAAAAAGGGTCCTACAACATATGGATATAAAAGTGTACAAAAACTGTTGTTAAAATAATAGCGCAATGACTAATAACAAAACAATATGACAAAACTTGGTACATTTTTTGGTTAATTGTTCTTGACCTTTTTAACTAATTTTTTTACACTATCCAAATCAAACCTGTTAACAATAAAACATCGCTCAAATTGAGTTATTTTAATTATAAGGTTGAAGTTGAGCTGATAAAATAGAGGAAGGTATTTGGATGTACTTATGCAACTAATTATTAGAATATTAGAATAATACTTGCTGTAATAAGTTTATAATTTTTGAATAAATTGAATATCTTTTTGATAATTTATCTAACTGGTTAAATAATCAACATTTATCAAATACTTAAACAACTTATCACCAATCCAAACAGAATGTTTACAGTAGGTTTTATTACATTTAATTATCTGATTCTGATTCTGATTATTCTATATATCTCCAAAATCCACATCCAAACATCCCTGAATCAAACCTATATCTTTGAATCTTTACAAATTAGAAGAAAACCCATGATCACGTTCATGTTCATGTTCATGTTCACTCATGCTTCCTCTAGACAAACCTCTTAATCGTCTCCAGAACTTCTTCTTCCTCTCCATTTTCAAAGGAGCAGAATTAAACTGACGTCTAAATGATTCAGACTCCAACCCCTCCACATTCTGAATCCTCCCACCCCTCAAATCCATACCCTGAAATCCAATCTCCATATCATATTCATACCCACCACTTGTCATCTCTCTTCCAGTCTCTTCTGAATAATCCATCATTTCAAAATCACCCTCTTCACCATGGCTCCTACTTCTTGGAGTCATTTCTCTTATTTCATCAAACTCATTGCATACAAGTTTCAAGGCTTGAACCACTTCACCCATGAACGGGCGGTGAGATACTTCTGGTTGAACACACATTGAAGCTATGGCTGCTACTTTGAGTATACTATCGAATGGGGTGTTTGAGTTTATGATGTCATGGTCAATGATTGACTCAAGCGACTCCTTATTTGTGAGAAGTGGTCGAGCCCATGCGACTAGGTTTTCTTGACCGGGTGGCTGCAATAGGTCCACTGGCTTTCGCCCTGTTAGAAGCTCGAGAAGGACTACTCCATAGCTGTAAACATCACTCTTTACAAGAAGATGGCCCGTCATTGCGTATTCCGGTGCCAAGTAGCTGTATAAAGTTAGCAGTTAAAAAGAGAGGTGAGGCTCCAACATATATATAAAAAGACCCAAGCTCTCATACCATATTAGATATGTAGAGCAAAACGAGAGAGGTGAGACTCCAATATATATATATATATATATATATATATATATATATATATATATATATATATATATATATATATATATATATATATAAAGAGATGGAAAACACTTGCTCTGATACCATGTTAGATATGGGAAGGAGGGGAGACTGCAACATATATAAAAGCCAGATGAGATGGGATAGCCGAGAGGTGACGTACCCAAAAGTTCCCATGACATGTGTTGATATGTGCTTATGTCCGTCCAATGCTGTTCTAGCCAAACCGAAATCCGAAACTTTAGGGGTGAAATCGTTTTCGAGCAAAATGTTGCTTGATTTGAAGTCTCGATGAATGACACGTGGACTTGAATCTTCGTGTAAGTATGCTAAACCACGAGCTGCTCCTAGGGCAATCTTCATTCTAGCACACCAATTTAGCGGGGGGATCTTGTCCGCACCTAAGGAAACATTTTAAAAAAAAAAAAAAAAATTATGGTCATTTTCTTTCAACAAATCTGAGCAACGCAGGACTGAATCTCAGTGGATCGTATTGGTTACTCTGTCACTCACCATGTAAATGAGATTCTACACTTCCATTTGGAACAAGCTCGTAAACGAGACACCGAAAATGGTCGTCTGTACAAATACCCAACAGTTTAACCAAGTTTCTATGGTGAAGACGACTCAGCATCTCCACTTCGGCTAAAAATTCACGACTTCCTTGCCTGTCATCTCTCTTAAGAACCTTCACTGCAACTTTCCGCCCATCTTCAAGAACACCGCTATAAACAATTCCAAAACCACCTTCTCCAAGTATTCTACTCGAATCAAAGGTATCAGTAGCCCTCTCCATCTCGCTCAAACTATAAATCTTCGCTGTTCCTGTGTATGCTGCTAAACTTGAGCTAAATGACATTGATGTCGAGCTTTTCCTGCTTCCAACTATCAACGATTCTCCTGTACCTAATCAAGTGTCAATTGCTTCGTATAGCTAGTGTTTGATGGAATGAAATCACTAAAGAATGGAACATAGGGTTACCTGATGGTTTCGTATGTCCACGAGGGTCTTTCTCTGTTCGGGGATTGGAAGAACAGCATCCGCATTTCAACAAGACAAGCCACAAGGCTCCGATGAGAACAACAAAAGCTGTAACAGACGATAAAATCACCACCGCGATGATGCTTCCATTTGGCTTGCTCTTATCCTCCTTCCCGTTTCTGGGTATGTCAACTCCGATAGGCTTCAACGGTCTTCCTCTATCACTGTTTACAGAATCTGATTGACCGATTGTCACATCGGAATTGGAAGGCAACGACGGCGGCGAAGGTGGAAGCCCTATTTTCAGATCAAAATAATACAAAATCAAGTTTCTGAAGCTCTTCATTTAGACGATGAGATA